CTCCCGGCTATGGCCGTGATAGGTGATGAGAATGTCATTGTGAAAGTCAGTCGCCTTCAGCGCTCCCCCTGGGTGGTGACCGCTGCCAAAGTTGGAAAAGTGCTTTCCGTTTGTGGTTGTTGTAGCGGCCACTTGCCTATCCACTTGCAAGTGGTTGGATTGCTTTCTACTTCTACACTTCACGGTCATGTGGGTGGGGCAAACCATAAAACTTTATTAAAACAACAAAGGGGGCGTTTTCTGTTACAAAACATTTAAGTACTCATTCCCAAAGTACATTGAAATAAGAAGCTAGTCTTAGCTTCAATCGTCAATATCTCAGGAACTACAAGAGATATCGATGTCAGGTTTGGGTAAAAATGATCCGGGCGCCATCCTGGTGCACCAGGGGGGTAAAAAAGAACCGGATTCAGGGCGTACAGGGTTTCGATCCCCGAATCTCTTGATTCGAAGTCAAGCGCCTTATCCATTAGGCCATACACCCGTTATTGTTGATGATCAGTAGAGGCCGCCACACTTTAAACGGCATGCTTTATGATGGTCGCTTCACTTTCATGCCTACGCATTGGCTTCGGAGGCTGATGAGAGAACATTGCCGAGTGTAAAATTTATAAAAAATATGAAAAAATAACTGTTAGAAAGGTTGTTTCAAATGAAAATTGTGAGAGGCAAAATAGGCAGTGAGTGACACACAGGCAAGCACGCTCAAAGGTACGTGACGTAGTGCCTATTGTCGGCAATGCTGTCTGCTGAACGCGTGATGAGGTAACTACCGATTCTGACGATCATTTAGATTACTTAATCTAATAAAAATCTGGATGGAGATATGGAAAGTTTTGTTCTTGACTATAAAAGTTTCTGCCTGACGGACACTAGAGAAAGTACATTACACACCCGACAAACAACAATGTTGTTAGAAGGCAGGGAGAGCGTGAGCTGATAGAAAATGTTTATTTAACTAAAACTAGAGAATAACTAACTCACTACAGTGAGATACACCACTCT